TTATAGTTTATACGCATATAAAAATATTAGCACATGATGCCTAGTTTCGGAAAGATCAAAGAATATAGGTCGAGGACGGTCGTGTAAATATATGTAATCTAAATAATCTAATTAGTCCGCACACCAAAATGTCTAACTGAGATAAGTCTCGCGACGAGACACTCATCAAATCATGATATGATATACCGTTTGAATAGAGTGGAATATCAAAAGCATATTCATTTAAAATACCTTGAGTCAACATCTTTTTAATAATATAATAGGTACATTATGCCACACGAAGTGAAACTTTTTCAAAAAGTTCCAAGAGTGCCTGCACATCAAACATTAGTATCTACGATTACCTATTCATTTTTATTTTTCGCCAAAAAGATTAATTAGACATTGAATAGGATTCAGAAAACACAATTAAACAAAACACTCTAATACCTATAAACCTGCAGTATGTATACACATTTTAACCTTCCTAATATAACCACAAAATAGACAATTCATGTGGCACTTTTTATTCGCAAGACATACTAAAATCGGAATATTATACTAGATATTTTAATTTGAGAATTTAATTATCAATGTCTTATCAATAAAGAAAAGCTACAAAGATCTTAATTTTTAAAATTTATAAATAAAAATATATGCTCAGTCATCATAAAGTGTATTAAAAATGTAATATAAGATCACTCTAAATTATTTTTATAACAATTTAAAATACCTGAAACATAGATATTTTTTAAACCTTTGTCCAAAGCACAAAAGTTTAAAAATTATTTTGTAATATTAATACATTATACTATAAACAATTTTCAACTTTAATAATTAAAATTGTTAAAAATCTAATATAATGCTCCTTATATTATGTTGTTATTACTAAAACCTATAAATATTATTCGAAGTGAATTAAAACTTTTTGTCATTATGTATCTTTTTAACAACCATATACGTAATTACAATTAAAAAATATTTAGATTAATTATAATAGATTAATAATTAATTATATTATGTATGATATAAACGTATATATGGTAGAAAAATAATAATACTAAAAAAAAATGTATATCTTCTGCTAAAATTAATTTAACTTGCGTAATATTGATAATTAAATAAATTACTAATGAGTAATGACCATATAAAATATACAATAAATTATCCTTAGTAATAAAGGGTGATAGACCGTACCCGCTGAAAATCATTTTTCGTATGCAATAGTTTATCGTTAAATTCAATTTAACACGCGATTTACAATGGTCTATCACTCAATAATGGGGTACTCTCAACACCTATACTTTTTTTATATTGGTATACCGATACGATCCCATCAACACGCAAGTTTATTATGAGTTTAATCAACCCAGAAATATTGAGAGAAAAAATAAGTCTTCGTTATTATTTGATTTTATAAATAAATTACAATTTTTTTTTATTTTTTTACTATGAAAATATACATTAGATGTATTTGAAAAAAAAAACTTGATGTTGATAACAAAATGTATATTATTTCAACTAAATTGTTTCATATATGTTGACACATATAACTAATATAGTTACAAGAAAAAAATGATGATAATAAATAATAAATATCAATAAATAAATATAATAATATACATTATGAGAACAACCAATAGATATCTGGCATAAGGTAAGGTTTTTTTTTAATTTGTTGTAAAAATAAATAGGTAATAAACAATAATACAAATAATTAACTAGTTAAGATAAGTTCTCGATATTTATATCGATTTATTCAATAATAATAACTTTATCTCAAGAGTTATAGTATAGGAGATATGAATACATGATTATTCATTACAAGTAATGACAATTAAAATAAATACATTTCGTTAACATGGTAAATAAATTACAAAACTATATTGCACAAAGTCATCATTTGGATATAATAATAAAAAACCGATCGATCATTAATCGCATCTTACCTGTAGCAATTCATTCGATCATATTCCATTTACACACGCACACACATCATAATTATATAATATTATAGTCTATACTCTACAAATTAATGAATGCCCTCGCAATGAAAACATCCGTACAGGGTAAGGTCAAATTGCACTCAGGACAGAATAATGTGATACTCAAATTATTTAATCAGGTTCAAAAAAGATAATGTTCAAATTGCATTCAATTCCATTACAAAAAAAATGATCTATTTACAAGCGAATACATAATCTCAGTCAATAGTCGTGAATATAGTTTGTATTTTTAATATTTTAAGTTCATTGTTATTATTGTGATAATATTATATAAGCGAGTAGATAACTACAATTTAAAAATGATCATCATTACTTTAAAATATATAAATTTTTTTTCAAAATTAATTTATAATAATATAAAAATTAGTTATTTTTTCAAAGCGAATGAATAAATATAATTTAAATACTCGTAATAAAAAAACATGTTATCTATTTACGTTTAATTTAAACCTATTATAGTTACGATGTGTCATAATAACATTTGTGATACTAAATCGATCGACACATATCACATACAATTTTCAACTAAAATTAATAGTTGCAAGTTCTATGGAATGATTATTTAGATAGAATGCAATTTTAATGTTTAACATTATCTGATTTTAACCCGAGAGCAATTCGAACATTTTGGTTTAGGTAAGAAGTACAGTTTGATAATCCCTGTTTGACGTGAATAAGATTCATTGCCTTGATAAAATATTTAGCTCGTTCCATTGAGCATATATTGGTTAAATTTATTACTTCGTCGATTTTTATTGTGACCATATCAAAAACATAATATTAAGTTACACTTTCAAAAAATCTATAACGTCGAATTTAATATTATATTAGGTATCCGTTGATACGAAATCGAATTATTATAGTCGTTTCGTTCGTTACATAAACCACAAATACGAGGTTACCAGGCGATTGTTAATAAACAGTTAAAGTTATTTTTCGATTGGTTCAGCATTCATATCATTATAAAAAAGTTTAACAGATAGATAATTATGGTTGAATAAAATCAATACCTTTATTATGAGTATTATTGTGATATTTTAAATCAATGAAAATACGCTTACTATAATTACCCGATGAAAATAGTAGAGTATCCGTGTAATGGAATTTGCATACATGAAATGATCTCATTCTTATTCGCATAGCTTTTGTTCCGTTCTCCGGACTTTTATATTTCATTTCTACCACTTCGAAATGTGTTCAATTTGTTTTCGTTTAATATACAGCGCAGATATAGGTGTGTATAGTATTGTGGAACGAACAATGAAACATTTTTTTTTCACTTTATATAAACTCGGAAATAATGAAAATTGAATTGACTTTTTATCTTACGGTTTGCCGCTGAAATAATATTTTGGCCTATATAATATTATGTACTCGTATAAAATAAACAGAATACAATAGTAATTTAAAAAAAATACATTTACCGTTTGCCGAGATCAGAAACTTACAAAGCACAATAATACAGTTCCTAACCGGAATATAACAATAATTTTAAATATGTTGGTGCTGTTTCTTTTTCAAACTTATCGTCACTCGACAGATTAATGATGACTTCTAGGCGTCTTTTGCTTATAAATATTGTCGGATGGAAGAGCATTTTAAATGGGATTAACATTGTACAATGGGTACAAAACAAAATTAAAGGATAGGTATATCATAATATATACGACAGTTTTCAATCGAACATTTTAATCGTAAATAATAAACTATACAAATTAAAGAATATTGATTTTAAAATAAAATAATAATAACAAATAACCATACATCAAATAACCAGAACTTTTTGATTTACATAAAAAATACTATTAAATACTTTCAATTCTACGAAAAAAAAACAGAACATAATATTATCAAAATTTAATTTTTAATTTTTATCTTTTATACATACACACATATATATATGTATGCAATACACACATAATGATTTAATATTTATTATACATAAATGAAGAAATATATATGTATAAAGTAAAATAATAATGTATGAAAATATCGAGGACTAATTAGTATCGTAAATGCATATATATTCATAAATTATATGTGCACACAAACACGAGACATAATTAATTTATTTTTTTTTTTTTTGTATAAAATATAATTACACATCATATAATATGCAGTGTTAGATATTAGTTAGTAGCCGGAGTAGGGAGCTGTTCATCACTATTTTAGTTTGTCCTAGTTTTATTTGGGTAATTAGTTATTAAAGTTCTCTCTGCTATATTATAAATGTCACAACAGATTGATTCATTTGTTTACTAAATATCTGTAATCGATAATATAGCTACCATATACTAGCTTGAGTTATACATAGCATATTACAACGCGATTTACTCTGCAGTAATAAATCATACATCCAAAAACGAGTTTTTTAGTAACGTTATAATGCTGAATATAATGTACTTATATTTTTTTAATTGTCAATTTTTAAATATTTGTGACTGACTGAAATGTGAAAATATTTTATGTTTTGATATATTAATCAAATAATTAAATTAAAAAAAAAAAAGTATTGAACAAGATAAAACTATAAGCAATACACATAAATTAATTTTGTTATATTTCAGATCATAATTTAATTTTATGCCTCATACCTGTTTATTTTAAAAAACTAAGTGTGCCTATCAAACTCCATTCGATTGTGTTAAATATTATTAAATCGTACGACACATCACTTTTTAACGTACACACTTAGAGTGATTAATATTTGAATTTGACATATTCAAGTTGACAGACCAATTAATTAGAATTTTTAACGTAAAGCTTTATTTATGTTTGTTTTTAAACATCAGTATATATTTTTTGTATAGGTAATCTATATTTAAAAATATAATCGTTGAGAAAATGTATTTTTTTATCTAAAATAAAAAAAATTGTAGTCAAATAAATAATGATATATGTGTGAAGTTAATAAGAGTTTAAATATTATAGATAGAATAGATTTGTTTATTTTAATCTTTATTATAAATTTATTCAATTTGATATTTTTGATAATTTTAAATTTAATTACGTATATTCAGTGTAAAACCTAATTTCGAACGCCAAAATATTGAATATTAAAATACAGAGTTTTTCATTGTTTTATTCACTACCTAATTATATAGTCCTTATTATTATTTTTTTTTTTTATGATGACGGTATCACCATCACTCAATAAAGCTATTCCAGTTACTTAAACATTTTAATATTCAATAAAAGAAAATAATAATTTTTACGTTTGAAGTTGAAAATAGAAATTTAGTTTAGGGTGAAAAAAAAATGCAATCGTTAACAAAACTGTGCTGTTTATGGGCTCGTTTATAGCAAATATTCCGGCTACTGCACTGCACTGATACGCATATCGTAATTATTATCGTTATTATTATTATTTATTAGATACGTACTCGTCTTCCGACTGATCAATGCGTATCGAAAGACTGTATATTATAAATTTATTATTATTTACATAAAAAAAAACAAAACCGAAGCCCTCGGCTACCGTTTTCTCTTCTACTCGTCGTCATACACGATAATAAGTAGTATAAGCCTTACCGCGACGGTGGAGAACGATATGCGCGCGGCGCACGTCTAGTCCGGTCGGTGGTCTTGGGCGGCGGAAGCGGAAGAGACGGACGGTGGTCCGGGCGATCCGCGGGCGGCCGTCGCGTTCCTGTGGCCGCCGCCGCCGCCGCTGCACATTATCAGCTGCTGCTGCAACTGTTGGAGCCACCACGGCGGCGTGGCAAGCGGCGACTCCGTTGTCGGCGGTAGCGGAGGCGGCGATGACGACGAGGACGACGACTGCGGCCAACCGCACTGGACGGCGGCCGACATGGCGGCAGCGGTGCAGGCTGTGCCGGCGGCCGGTTCCGGTAGAACCGGCAGTGGTTTTCATATGACGTGCTGCGCGTGTAGTCCGGCCGGCCCGACGCGATCCGGTTTGACCAGCAAGGCGATGGGCCGCTTGATGACGGCCGCTGCAGCGGCTGCGGTGGACAACAGCGGCGGCGGCGGGAGCTGGGCGGGCGGCGACGGCGTGGACGACGACGTGGACGACTCGTGCGCTGGCCGGGGCGGCTGCAACGGTTGCAGCGACGACTGCGCCGGACGTTCCGCGTGCTGGCCGCACTCGGCGCAGTTGACCGGACAACCGCCGTTGGAGCCAGCCGCGGCCATCATCGGCCACCCGGTGGCCAACGAGACGGCGCGCGAGTACAGCGAACTACCGTAGAGCGCGTGCAGCGCTAGATCGTGGACGGCTTTGCCCGCGGCGGCCGCTTCGGTGCCACCGCCGCCGCCGCCGGCCACCGTTGACAGGTCCTTGGCCACCTGTTGGTAGAACGACGACGGGTAGTGGTGGTGTTGGTACGGCGAGAAGTAGGCGCGCGGGAATTTGGCCACGGCCACCGCGGTGGCGGGCGACTGGTGTTCGCCGGCCGTCGGCATCTGCGCCAACGACCCGATGGCTGAAGCCGAGGTAGACCCGCCACCACCGCCGGCGCCGCCCGCGGCCGACGCTTCGTGTTGCGGCAACAGGTCGCGCACCGAGTACGACACCGGTTTGCCGGACACCGCCGCACCAGTGTCGGAAGTTTTCTTCTGTACCATCGTCTTCGGCTTGCGCCGAGGACGGTATTTGTAGTCCGGATGCTCCTTCATGTGTAGCGCCCTGTAAAAATTACAAATTAATACGCACACTGTACAGATTTCGTGATAGTATTATTATATTATTATTGTCGTAGGTTAGGTTACGATTTCGGATGTATAAAATACGATTGAGTCTCGGTAGCTGGAATCTCGAGGGGAATACAAATAATTTTGACTTAAAAATATTTCGATAAAATAATTTTATTATTTTGGAAAAATAACGCAATTCGTGAATTTTATAAGTTTAATGCGTGTTTTATTAGTAGTCAGTACTAGTAAATACATTTATGTTACATATTTCTATTTACAGAGTTATACACATTATGTTTGTTGACAAACAAATCTATATTAATTATACAATTTTCATCATAAACATAATTAATAGATTTTTCATTATTCTTTTATTTTATTAAGACATAAGCAAAACAGTGATAGATAAAAATTAACTGACTGATGAAAATGCTTAAAACCGATTTGATTCCGACTATTTTCTAATAAAAAAAAAAACCTTTATTTTATACAAATTTTACCGACTATCTGAGTCATCGGACGACACATTTTTCCACTTATTTTACTTTATGTATTACATTTTTAAATTTTGAATAATAAGAATTTTAAAATGTTAGTAGGTACAAAGAATAATTAAAAAATTAGTTTCTAAGTGTATTTTACAACGAATTCAAGTTTTTTTTCAAGTACTTTACTTTATAGAATGAATAAGTTTCATACAATACAATTAGTAAAATATTGAAAAATTCAAACAAAAAATAACGAAGTAATTAATATTTGTGAAGCATATTATTAAGATGTGCGAACACGTGCTAACGAAACAACATTCGGGAACCTACGAAGTACGTCAACTTGTGTGGTTTGTTTTAATCGAAACGATAATAAACTTCATCAATGTCGTATTTACAAGGGTAGGGTATTCGAGTAATATATCAACCTACAAAGCATATTACACCTGAGCGGAATGATGAATGTATTGATTTTATTATTATTATTTTATGTATGTTATCAACTTTAAGAAAAATAAAAATAATTGAATCATTGAGATTTTCCGGTTTTTAGTAGCGGCCTACATTATTTATTTTTTAAACATATCATTGTCAAAACATATTGGCTACATATAGACATTTGAAAGTTTTTTAATTTTTATTTACTTTATGTTGATAATAATGTTTTCCCTTTAAAACATATACAATAAGGTTCTTAAAAAATTAACTGAGATAAAATTTAAAAAAATTTTTATTTATTACAACTGTTTATTATTTATTATTATTTTTTTTATATTTTTGTATTGTTATTAGAAGTTATTCGCTACATCTAAAACTATTTGAGTAATAGACAAAATATTGTGTATATGTTTACATAGTTAATGACATTATATATCATAAAAATATGTTTACATTACAACAATACTTACGAAAAAAGCTACATCATTGTTTTATCACTACAGACGTCTAGACATAACTAGTATTCTACAAAATTAAATTTGATAAAATATAAACCATCCTATTAACATCAACCTAACACCACTAGATCCAAATTGATACAGAACTAGACTATAGATACATATTCATTAAAAATACATTTAAGTTTATTAAAAATATAGAAGATACAATCTAACAATATGTTAAAATTATCTAAACATAAAATAATTATTTTTTAAATATTATCTTTAAATAATATTAGTTATTTATTGTATTTTAAAATTTTAAAAACTAATAATTGTTGGGCCTTGAAACTTTGCACCACTAACATAATAAATTACTTTCTAAACCAATAACAAAACATTTTCAAGATTCTACAATTAACATTATAAATTATTATAAGTAATACGTGACTTTTTGGGTAAAAATGAGTTTAACTTGGCAAATAAGTAAAAACTAATAATAATAATAAAAATATAATATAACATAAACTTATAAATATAATATATTTTAAATGCTAATACATCCATCGATTATTTTTTTTTTTTGTTTCATACAATAATTAATTTAGATTTTTATACAATAAACTCAATAAAATATTTAATTACTTAATGATTATTATTAAAGACAGTTGAGGAAAAAAATGAATAATACTGAAAAAATTTAAAATAATAGTGTTTGTATTTTTGTTTAAAAATATATTAAAATAACAATATTGATCCATAATTCTATCGATATTATAGGGCATGATATTAAATCGTATAAATAATAAATTTAGTGGAATATTCTTTTTAAAAAACAATTATTATTCTATGAAGTAAGATTAAATTAATTTTGCTTTAACGCCTTTAACAATAATAGTAAATAATATGATATTTTGTATTTATTTTAGATGACAATAAATTACTTATCAAACATTATTGTTATTGTTTCATTAATCCATATTTTATAATATTATATATATATATAATAATGGTGACATTCAGTATTTGAGAGATACATAAATAAATAATTAAGATGTTATGTTTCCCAGTTCTCCAAGATGTATATGTAATCATGATTATATCAATATTAGTTTATATGATTTTATGATATAAATAAATTGTTCAAAAGTATCATCTTAAATACTTTAAAACTACGTATTAAAATAAAATAACTAAGAATAAACAAATCCTAACCTCTTGTTCTTAGAGTGTTTATAAATTCGGGTGGATTGTTTTCAAATCTGGTTGAAAATATTTTTGTCAAATATAGTATTTGCATTTGACACGATTCTTTAAATACCCGATCACAATAATGACCACTCCTTTTGGAATTTCAATATTGCCTTACAAAAAAAGCATATTTTATTTGTTCTTCATACTCCTAATTCAGAACGTACAATTACACTTGACAATTGTCACCACTTAACTGAATCTCCACATGTGAAAAGCTTAACCTAACCCAACACGTACAGTTAACATAATAAGAAACGTTTAAATTTATATAATTAATATTCGAATTTCCACACGAATTTAAATAATATTCATTTATAGTTAATTAAAAAACAACCATTTAGAGAATTTTCAAGCAGAAATGAAAAAAAATTCAAACATAGATTTTGAAAAAAAAACAGCAATATAATAATGATCAGTTTTTAGTAATCTTAAGTGTATTTGTCTAAAAATGAGAATATTTCAATGACATGCTAATTAAATTATCATTCATCATCTTATATTTTTGTTGTATCATTTGTTTAGCATTATGATTATAAATAAATATTCAACTATTTTATTGGCTGTACAATCATATTTTAAACAATTATAACTGTATAATCATATTAATAAATCAAATCGGAAATAATCAATATTTAATTAATAATCGTCCAGCAAAATTCATTTTACATAAACGCATATTACAGATATCTTGAAACATTATAACACATTATCATCTTTATTTGTTTGATTAATTTAATTGATTTAGTTTTTTCGATTTATCTAAGTACACAGAATTATTAAATCAATAAACACAATGACCTTTTTTTAAATACATAATTGTTCGAGGAAGTAATATAATTCTTTGTCAATTATTTTCTCCGACTTTAATTGATTGTAATAAAATATAACCCAATAATATGGAATTCATTTACTTATTCTGTCTTAGTTGTTCGTGATAATAAAAATTCAATAAAGAACAAAACAATAAAAATGTTATAATTTGGTTATTCATCGAATAAAGTAAACGATTTCAATAACACATATGATAAGGCACCGCGATAAAAATTATAACTTGAAATGTGTATAATATTGCCACGATAAGGATAAAATTTTAAGTCTCTAATTAAATGTTTTGAACTACCTAGCCTAAAACTTAAATATTTCTCAAACTAATAATTATACACCACAAACGTATATTTTGTGTGGAAAGTGATGACTGATATGACTTATAGTTTATACTAACTTTATATACAATGAGTATCCCAATTATCTGACATATATGAAAGTAGTTTTAATATAAAATCGTCATATTTCTGTGATATACAATGTATAACATATGGTTTTCAATTTTAGTTTTGTGTCGAAATTAAATAGCGCCTAAATTAAGTAGTATCAAAATTACTTAAATTGAAATGCTGCAGCATACACCCAATAGCCGTTCGTCCAAATGATCGCGTTCATTTTACGCGCGTCGAAATTACGTAAGTGCATTCATATTTTTTATATCTACATAAGAACTGTAAATGTTTAACACATAAAACAATAAATCATAAGAACCGACACTACAGCTTAAAAAAACATAAAATATATATCACTGTAAGTGCCTGATTTAATTTCCATTTGTCGTATATAATTAACCGATATTCATCAAACATATGACTAATAAACTGCAAAACACATAAGTTTCAATTTGTATACGTTTATAGATTTACACTGAAAAAAAAAAATCCGCGTTTCCGTTGAATTTCGCGCAGATCGAATTATGATCATAATAAACCATTTGTAAATTGAACATGTCAGGTATAATAATGTACATGAATAGTATGGCGTTATGCTATCGGTAAATATGAATTTATACAAATAAATAATACATAATTGTATTTTATTCTATACACAAACGATTAGAAATAATTGATTATTTAATGCTGTGCATATATATTATTTCAGATAGATAACGAAGCGTCAAAAGAAACTGATTTATCTACAAACTTATGATACGAGTACTTTGTAAAAAAATAAAATACGAAATAACAAATGATTATCATTTACTTTAACTATACCAACAAAATCCTAAAATGCAGTAATTTACGAAGCCACATTATTTAGCAAATAATATACATACATAATCCCTACAAACAGTAGAACTACACGACGTCCAGACCAGCAGTATAGTTATACGTATACCTACTATAATTAATGATGTAAAAAAAATATACCTTTAATGTGTTTATATTTGTATAAATCAATTTTGTAATACCTATCGGCCGTTCTAGAGCTGTTAGCCCAGAATTCTATAAAGTGAATGAAAAACATTTTTTCACACGTTCATCGCGGTCTTTGTTTGACTCACTCTCCATCTCTCTTTCTCTAGGTTTGTAGTCACTATAGTCTCTACATGTAAATTTGAGCTTTCTTGTCAGCGCATGCTTAGGAAGTCAACTCATTGTTTGCGAGCACAAATATTACAATACGTTTACACACACGTGAGCGCTAAACATTAATTCACAAAAAGTATAACAATAATATTATTATGGAACACTCACAGCCTCCCGGAAACTATCAAAGTGGTCTAAAATCTGTACCACCGGGTAAGTTACTCATAGGATACCTATACTTAACTATTGGGTTTTCTCGAATCCTTTACCGAAATTAAACCTAATCCTTCTTTCTTATATTTCACCTTCAGTGTCAAAAATTTATTATTTCATTTTGAATTTATATAATATTTTAACTTGGCATAAAAATATAAAAATAAATAACCTCAAAAATCTTATTTCTACTAGGTACTTAAACAATCTCTGTTAATTTATTAATTACAAACACTCATAAAGATCATATGTTTTTTGTAAATAGATTTACAAATTAAACTATATTTAAAATTAATTTTTTTTTTAACTTTTATTTTTAATACACACAATCTATAAATAAGTTTTACAATAAACATATTTAAGGATTTACATTATTGGCACGATTGACATGATGAAAATTGAATTTAAATAAATAAATAAATAAATATGAAGTTTACGTGAAGACGCGATCTCAAAAGAAGTTTTTTATAAACGCATAACGTTATTTCATATTTCATATAATTATATAATCGACGGATTTTAACAGCACTCGAGTGCCACCGTTAATTTTTTTACGACACGACGACATACGTCGTATACCACACAGATCATATTATTATGATGTACCGCGGTCGTGCACAAATAATCGTATACCTTCACGGCACAGAATATCGTCTGATTGATGAAAACAAAACAAAACAAAATAATAATAATAATGAGTTTAAAAAAAAAAAACCCCTTCTCGCGACAATTGTGTGCACACAATAAAAAATAATAACATAATGACGTGTACTCACAACTCGTGTGTGTATGTATATTATATACACGTGTGTGTGTGTGTGTGTGTGAATATATACAACAACGGCACCTTCTACGGCCAACGGACTCGGTCGAAACGATAGAACCGATCGCGGTCGCGGTACAATAGTTCGGTAATTGTGATAAATCGCTTTTATTCATTTATTTAATTTTTCTTCTTCTTCTGCCTCCGTCCACCTCTATCAATACTATCTCTCGGCACACAAACACACACACACGTGTGTGTGTATGTATTTATACGTATTACACGTAGGTACACCGTTGCCGCCGCCGATTATTCTTAATGATTTCAAATAGTCCGTAACCGAAAATCAATCACAAACACACACACACACACACACACACACGACGTTTCGTAAACTTTGATGTCAGCGCGCAACAATAACAACAGTCATCTGGGACAAAACATGTACATTACTCTACGCGCGCCGCACCGCACAAGCACAGCACAACGTTTACACGTCATATTTCGTGTGTATCATACGTATTATATTATACGCACCCTATGCAAGTACACACTACACAATATACGGACGAGACACGCCGACGCGTACACAACACTTTGTAACACGCTATATCATTTGAACGCGTATCCGAGCTGCGGTGTACGACGAGCAAACAACGCATACACCTCTCATACCCCCCTCTGGTCGTGTTACTTATACATATATACATATATATTATATATAGGTATACGAACGATATATATTATTATTATTGTTATTGTAGACTTAACGACGCGCTGATATATATATATATATATATGCCTCTACGTACATCATAATATGCTTGTATACGCGAGCCTGTGTATATGTGTCAAATCGGTCTTTTGTATAGGTAGTAGAAAAAATATTACAAACTTGCAAGGTCTATACATGATATTATGATTATTAACGCAGCTGTTAATTTTGATTTCGTCACTAAAACGATTGGACATTGATCGTCGTGTGAGGCGCAACATTTAAAATTCAAAAATATATGAATATGAATAAACATATATAGGTAAATTGATTATTAAGTGTCAATACTCTAATAGTCTAATCCGATAAATCAACTCCTTATGCCATATACGGCACGTCTCGCGTTAAACGGGGTTACACAAAATTATTCATCTGTTGCTTGCACCCGGTTCAACTATAACTCGTAACACTCCTAAAAATAAACATCCAGAAAAATTAACCTAAAATAACTTCTTTTTTTAAAAAAAAACACCCGAATTAACCGTAACCTGCAAACCAAAACTATCAACATTTTTTTAAAGTCAAAAAATCGAAAACTTTATGTCAACGCTTCTGTGCTGCGGTTTAACGTCAGTATAAAATATACATATCGTGTAACATAAATGGATCTAAATATTCTACTGTAAATTTAACTTTTTAATGATTCACTACCATGTAGATATATATAAACTGACAAACCAATTATATCTGGTTTTAATCAGAGCCTTAAAGTCGGCAGCTTACAGAGCATTAATTACCGAATATTACAACTGATAAGATATAATAATAATATATTAGATCAAAAAATTGAAAAGAGCATTACATTTTTTGATCTAAGCTTAAATCATTATTTAAATCTGTTATCAGTTACAATAGAATTTTGTCCCATACATAAGCATATGGCTACTTAACTTCAATGATATTGTGTGATAGAGACGAATATCTAGTTGTTTTATATGCCTATTGTTCATAACCTAGATAGTAAATTTCATTTATTCTAACTTTTGGGTTTCAAAAAAAAAAAAAAAAAAATGATATGTTCTTATGTTTAATACATGAGTCTTATAATTTTGTATAAAATGTCTATTAAATTAATAATGATATAATTATTTTTTTTAAATAAATTAGTATTATTTGTAACTCTTTTTCTTAAATTCAAAGATAATATATTATCAATATTATTTAATATTCAATTTATATCGTTTTTCATTACTACAACAATGACAGATATCTCACACAGTCAAATATATAAACTGTTGTCATTGTAAAAAAACAAAAAAACGAAACGCGGTATATTGCTCGATATACAATTCGATGCTCTTGATGGCTCTTTCAAAACAAAAATGACACATCCGCGATGACGTTTCTACTAATATACAAACGAGAATGTTATAATTATTAAATCTCTCACGGGGTTAGGTTTTAACAAAATTTAACTGAGTTGCGGATTTACCAAAAACGACTACAATTTAATATTACAATGGTTTAATTAATTGAATACACAAAAAAAAAAAACTATAAAAAATAATGAGTAGCTAGGGACTTTTTGGAATTTCTAATTTAAAATCCGGAATACGAGTGTAAGGTACATGACACGTAACGTCGAACTTGCCAAAAAATTGCTGTATAATTACCTCAAAATCACATAAAATAATAAAACATTATGTGATATATAAAATACATAATATACGCATAGTATCTATAATATGTCCTACATATACCGTCTCTATTTCTGTATGGTCGTATATAGTTTTAATGTCTGTGCAGTGTGCAGTGTGCACTATATAAAAAAAAAAAAAAATAAGTAGTTGGATTGAAATATTGTGATATACGAATATTATTATTTATACATCATATTATATACCATATACGTATGATTTGGTGTTTTAGAAAGAATAAAACGAACTCGCGTTAAACACACACGCGTACCATATATGCTTCACACTATTATATTATGCACATAATTATGGTCCGATGACGAACTGATCGTAACATTTTGTTCAACAACCGTGACAATAACGCGACACAGATTAACTTTTTGTACGCGTATTTAGTGGAAGTAAAATTATCATATTCACACTTACATAGGTAAACTACCCGAGTATAATAAACATATTATTAGTTAAAGAAACTTTATTGCCAGTTCGTCTATAAGTAATCAGACTGTGCGCCGTGCCTCCGTTACAATAGAATAATATTATAATTATATTATACTCTACACGTCTCAAATTCTCAAATAATATATATTATACTACATCTGCTTTATAGGAGTTTTAATAATATTATTGCAATTAAAAGTTATAAATTTTTAAAGACTATATTTTTAATTGTTTTTGTCACTGCACTTAATAAATATAGTACCGCGACAAAATCTTATACAATTGATTTATTATCGAAATTGTCTTAGAGCAGAAATATAGTTGCAGGGCAAATATATTGAAAGAATGAAACGTATAATTAACAAAATTAAATAAAATTATAAATAGTAAATGGGTTTATATTATTATGCTCGTTTTTTGTTTAGCGAACCAACTAAACAGAAACCGAACAACCGGTTCATTTGGTTAGGATGCATGTATATTATATACATACATATATATTATTATAATTTTTTTGACTTTATGTACAAATCTATCGTTGAATATAGCACAAACAAACGAACTACAAATAAATACGTTAATCGCTTTATTATGTACTTATTCATTATCCAACAAAATAACGTTTAAGTTTACTAGAAACTGTTAGTATTACCTAAATCCATTAATTCTAACGCGCTCGGGGGAGAGAAATCGTACTATCGTGATTTTCGAGGAAAACTCGGTATATAATAGTACAAAATTAAATCACGCTTTTGATATGAATTTTTTTTTTACACAGTCACGAAGGTCGTCATCGTTTTCGTCCTATAATATGTATAATATTATTAATATAATAATTTTAAAAAAAAACCCCCCTTCGGAGATAAACAATAACGATAAAATAATATGAAATACGACGACGATGATGATGACGTAAACCACACTAATACTACAAAAATAAACCGAAAAATATGATAAATATAAATATTACCTCAACCGTTTGGCTTCGTCGATGAACGGCCGTTTCTGCGGTTCAGTCAGGAGCTTCCACTCAGCGCCCAACCGCTTGCTGATCTCGGAGTTGTGCATCTTCGGGTTTTCCTGGGCCATCTTGCGACGTTGTCCCCTGGACCACACCATGAACGCGTTCATGGGCCGCTTGATGTGTTGCTGCTGTTGCGCGACCGCCACGGATTCCTGAACGGCCGCGGCCACAGTCGATCCCGCGTTCCCGCCGTGAAGCTGCTGCTGCTGCTGTTGCTGCTGCTGCTGCTGTTGCTGCTGTTGTTGTTGTTGCTGCTGCTGCTGCTGTTGCTGTTGCTGGTGATGGTGGTGCATTTGTTGTTCGTGTTGAGCGCGATGCTGTAAATGATGATGCAACTGTTGGTGCTGGTGCTGCTGGTGCTGGTGATAGGCCGCGGCTGCGGCGGCAGCGGCGGCCGCGTGATGGTGGTTCATCGACGGCGACTGATGTTGGTGCAACAGCATCGCGGCCGCGGCTGCCGCGGCGGCTGCTGCAGCAGCGGCCGCCGCGTTGGCCGGCGGCGTAGTGGTCTTGCCGTTGCTCATGACCTGCACCGGCCGTGAAACGCTGTGACGACGTCCGGCGAACGGGACGGGAATTTTCTCGTTACGGTGCAACGCGTGAAGAGTGCCGGCGAAACGAGCGGACGGGTCGCTGCTGAGAAGACAGTAAATGCACGCACGGCCGATCAGCAGCTGCAGAGGGCCGCACGTCACGGCGTCCGAAATGCGTGTGCAGCACACGCGGCGGCACGCGGTGGCGGCGGCCGTCCGCGGCGCCCCGCCAATGGCGTACCGCCACCGTTCCCGCCTCTTATCGACCGTCAGCCACTTTCTCATTGGCCCGTTCGTCAGCCGCCGCCGCCGACGACGACGTCGTAACGGCAGTCACCGGCAGTCGACGCCGCCGACGTTTTTTCCGACAAACTATAATATCATATGATGCGACAGAAACGCAACAAGTATGTGTGAACGTGTGGTGCACGAGGTGTGTTGTGTTACGACGCGTACGGTGGTAGTATATAATGTATATTGGCAACTGCTGCTAATCGACAGGTCTAAACGGTGTTAAAGGCAACCACCTGCAAGAAATAATACACAAATTTCCGTCGTTATCGCGAGCTTTTCAAAAATAAATAATAATTATCACGTATACCTAAGTTTACGTGCGTTTTATAGAGGATAATTTTCAAACCGCTGCTATAAACGCCTACGTGCATTGTATTATTACCGTATATTATCGCGTGTTTTATATTATATTGTTGTATCTAGCCCACGCAACGATTCAATTTTGTGACCATTGCCATTATTATTAATAATATAATATAATAAAGTTAACAGATTTTTATTTATGGTACAAAATTACATATATTTTAGATCAGAAAAATTTCCATCTCCCGCAGCCGGTTAGGTTAACAGATAATCCTAATGGTAATAGAAAACAAAGATGGCAAATAACTTAAACCCAGCGCACTAAATGCAGTGATGCGCCGATTCTATGGTTCAACTGTGACAAATTTCAAGAAGAATTAAGTGGGTGGGTGTGGACATCTCGAGTTTCAAATTGGTAAAAATTATATAGACTTCAAACTATCATTTCTCAAGAGAAATTTGAAAATCTGCTAAAAAATAATTACAAAAATCTGGAAGTTAATGTTCATTAACTATGGTTAGTTAGGATAGATAGTAGCTGATAAACTATCATATAGAAATTTGTCATAGCCGATTGGTATTCCAGATTACATCAGCGCCATTGCAGCTACACCATCATCTTCAGTGCTGCCTATTTCTGTTGATTACCATTATTAGCATATAATCCCTAATTGTACCTACATCTTAAAATGTATAGCCATGTATACCTATATATTGCAGTCTGTAGTGTCTAAATCTTATATAGTTTCAAATATACAGGTAAAATCTTAAGAGTAATACAAAGATTTTTTATTATTAAATACTTAAGTTTTATCAACTTTTAATTAAAATAGAAAGCAAACTGTAACACACTAACACGTGTAATATGTATAATATATTTGTTCAATCCTCGATGAACAAAATAAGAAAGTCATCAGCACAAACAATTAAAAATTATAATATAATTTTGGTTCGCAAATTGGTTAATAATCGCATATATTATATGATAAATATTGTACCATTCTTAATATACCTATTAGTCGTTATTGACTTTCACTTTACCCTAAAATTGTTCACACAAACGCCATAAACCATTAATCACCAGCTAAATCCTCTTTTTTACAATCTGTCTTTCAATAATACTTTACCCGATACTTCTTTTCGTCACCCAAAACAAATTCGTACACATGGTCTTCTAAACAAACTAGATTAAAAACATTAAGTCAATAAAGTTGAAGCTAACTATTATCTTTCCAGATCAAAAATAAAATGTTAATATTTTATTTATAATTTGAATTCTAGTTACTTATACAAGAGTAATATTATGAGATCGACTTACTCAAATTATCCCGTAAATATAATACTGTATCATTAGGGATGTGTGACGAAAACAATAATAATCGTATATATATACACTGCAGCAGCAAACCACGATGCAGACGTTACGTTTAAGTCCTTCGGCACGTGCCACATTTTTCAAGCTTTTAAATCTGTCTGTAGAGATAATACAAATGCATTGCATTTGATTATTTTTTATTCGTTTATCGCGATTGTGAAGCGCTAATTATAATAATATAATAACATTACATTTTTTTATTACACTTCGAACGGCAATTCGTGGTTTCAAACACTGGCTTATAAACGACTTATATTAACAATAGCGACAGGAATTATAAGTAGTATAAAGTGTTGAACTAAGTACGCTTATCATTTTTGACCATCAAACTCAATCAAAACAAACTAAAAAAGCCGAAACCAGACAGCACTATTCTTTTTGTCATAAACACTATAATATTATATTAAGTGGTATTAAATAATAGTAACCTAGTATAATGCCTATGATTTTTATGCTAGTCTTGCAACTCATTGTATGGCTAAAAAACAAATTGTAAGTATTGTAAAATAATATTAAGTAAATAAAACTTTATAAAAAAGGTATTTGTTTAGTATAATCTGTTTGAAAAAAATGATGATTTTATACTTATAATCCATAAAATAATATTATTGGGTTATTCTTGTAACCTAGATAATACGTAAGATATATAATATACTAACATATTATACAACAATATTATAAATGAGATAAATTTACATATACTGAGAAAAAATCTATCTTTATCTTATAAATGCTGTTAAATGTTTTAAATCCTTTCTATATTTTACAAGACTTGAAGATTTCTACTATTGTCTTATTTGAGTAGTAAATCATACCTTGATCTCCCTACCCACCAAAAAAAAAGGAAATAATAATAGTAATAATAAAAAATTACACCGTTGCTTAATACGGTATAAATAAATATTTTCAAAATTTCATTCTATATAGAAAATAATACATAATAAATAATTTCAAATAGTTAAAAGTTCTAACAATTATTATTTTTTAAATTACAATGAAATAACTAAAATCGTCGACAATTTATAATTTCTATATAAATAAGTAGTATAAATATCCTAAATATATAGAGTATATTAGCTCAGTATCGAATAATAATAATAGTTTTATATCGAAGTAATACAGTAATGAATCTAAGCTCAGCTAAAATATTGAATGATCATGAATTATTATATGGTAAGTACATTTAAATTTTCTATGTGCCCAGTATTATTTATAATCTAATAGTTTTATATTATATGAATAATTAAATATTTAGATAACAAATCAGAAATGGAATAAAACGCATTTTTCAAATATGAACGCAATAACCCTATGATAACATAACAAAATTCGTAAATACAATAGATATTCCAGATTATCCAGATAATAAGGATATAATAAAAATTATATAAACCACATTTATTAACAACAACAGCAGTCTATTGGTATATTAAAGTGTATTTTTTTTACGTTGATTTCATCAAAAAAGTTTGATTCACTTTAGTTTCTATAAATTAAAACCCGATTAATTAAATGGAAACAATTTGAAAATGTTGAGTTTATTCATTATTGCAATAATATAATATGGAAGCATATTTAGACTTTATCCAATGTTTTGATAAAAATTTTAAAACAATAATAAAACGCTTAGTAATGCGACAAGAAAACCGAAAACACAATATTTTAATTTGTTATAAAGCCTATCTACTACTCGAGATCAATTTTTTTTTCAAATTTAAACTTTTATAAATTATTATTATTTGATTTTAAAATGTTATAAATAAAGAATTTTAACTGTGAATTAGAAGAAATTCAGATTGTAAAGCAACGATTTCAGGACAAATTCTTTTAATATACTCACATAATCGAATATTTGTTCAAATTTCTTGAGTATAATTACTTATTAATTAGCCAAATTAACGTCCAATCTAGTTTAAGTCAATAATATAATGATTATGTTATTATAAAATATTATATCTAAAATACACGCATTACCTAAACAAAATTTCGTTTGAAAATTATAATTATTATTTTTATCATATAATTTAATTTATGCATATTATGTAAAACTACATTAAAACATTTTACTATATGACAAATATTCTGTAACTGCACTCTACATCTTGAAGTCACGTCACGATGTAGATTATTATGAAGTTTTTCAGACTCAACTCATCACACAATGACTTTAATGTAGATAATAAAATCATTATTTGTTGTATAAAATAAATGTCTTTAAGTTATTTCTTATAACACCATAAAGCAGACATTGAAAAGAAATCTGAAATGAGTTACACCAGCGTTTCCCAAATAGTGGATCGCGACCCACTACTAGACCATGAAAATATAATACCTGATCGCAGAATTAATAAAATTATCATATTAAATTTTGTTATTTATCATTTTATTTAATAATTTGAACTTTTTAGTAAAAATATTTACAAAGTATTGACAACATAAATGATAATTATTGAAATTATCAACTAGACTTTATAAAAAATCCATTTATAAATCTATAAAGTATTTATAAATTAACTCTGACATATTTAAGGTAAAACAGCCATTAGTTAATTTTTGGTTATCTTTTTATCAAGAGTACCCAGTTTTAGCAAAACAAGCGATAAAATTTCTCATGTCTTTTGTCACGACTTATAGGTACTCGTAAATGTTAAACAGGATTTTCAACACTCATATGTTCCTAAAGAATAAATACAAAAATCGGTTGGAAATCGAACCTGACTTAAGAAAAAAATTAACATCCTTTCCAGCAAACATGGAGTTCCAAGTTAAAAATAAACAATTTCATACTTTTCACTGATAGAAGTTAACTAATATAATTAGTTTAACTATATTATAATTATTACATTGTTGTTACAAATTAACGCTTCAATTGTATTATAAAATTATAAGTGGGCATTCAAATGTGTTTTATTTTGCCATTTTTTTACACAATGATAAATGTAAAAAAAATTGGTGAATTACAAAGGGGAAAAATATTAATTACTGGGCCAGCTCAAACAAAAGTTTGGGAAACGCTGAGTTACACGTGTTGTTGATCGGTTGATATTATGTACAGAAAAATGAAAATAGAATTGAATAAAAAAAAGGGTGTAAAATGACGCGTATCAAAGGGTGTCGAGAGGGTAACAAAATACTTAGTAAACCCTTCTAATAATCACATTCATGAGCCCTCCAAGAATCTTAAATAAAGTGTCTGCTTATACTCACATATGTATGTGTATATTTATATGTATTTTCATTGCATTTTAATCTGATTTCTAATAATTAAATATTATTATTCAAAATAATCACAATCTATTATGTCACTTCATCATATATAAAAGAGTGTAATTAAAAAAATGAATATAAGTGTTGTTATTTTGATCAATAATTAACAATTATTAAATTCAATAGTTTTGGAAATAATAAAATAAAAAACCCTCTCTGGACGTTAAAATTTAAAATAATATGGTACAACAGTCCATGTACAAATAGCTATAAAAAAAATTAAGATCTTAAACAAAATTTAAATTTATTTTAAAACAATCGAATTTGATGATAGTCAATTGTTTGTTG